GTGTTCCCGCCATAAAGACAAGGAATTAGTAACCATCCGGATCAGATCAAACACACACACACACACACACACCAATTTGAAACATTTCCCGCTCTTATGTGCCCATCCCCCCGGCACACCCAATACATGTTCAGTGTCTATTCTTTGTATATTTACTGCAGTTGTTCATGTATACCAGTAGTCTGATACAATATTTACAGTTCGAAAGGGTGTTAAATTACATTTGGTGATGATTAACGGTTTTTGTGTTAATGTAATAGCAGTTAAAACAGGACCGGTCAAATTTGACCGCGAACACCAAAGTAAGGGGGGGGGAAACAAAGACAATAGGAGGGTTTTAATGAAACCATTGCTTATGACAGTGATGATATTTTAAATCAAAAAACATATTCCCTAAAATGTGGAAGCTCTGGGTGCCATACAAGTGAATAGTTGATATTTTTTTAGGGCCACAACTTTGGCACTAGAGCACCTAGTGTTATCAAACGCATTTCAATGGTGAAACTATCCAAAAATATTCCATATGACAATATTTTCCACTACGATGAAAGGCGTGTAAGCCAACAAACCTTATTCTGGTTCCATCATGGGTAACCCCACCCATCCTCTCCACCTGCAGCTGGACAGACAGATAACCCCACCCCACCCCTCTCCACCTGGACAGACAGGAGCTCCTTCTCCAACAGACTGCTGCAGCTCCGCTGTCACAGGAACCGATACAGGAAAACATTCCTGCCCACTGCAATAACTCTGTACAACAAATCACCTCTGGCTGGAAGAGAACTCTCTGCTCCATAGCTTCTCTCTTCACAGTACATTTGACATATTCAGTGTAATATTTAATATTCCATCTGTCACATACTTATGTAAATATAATACCTTGCTTTATATCTTGTTATTGCTCATTTGTAAATTCAACATGTATATTTTCTTCTTTATTTCTTGTCTTTTTATTGTATAATGCCATGTGTTTTAATGCTGCTGCAACGCAAAGATTTCCCAAATTGGGATCAATAAAGTTCTATCTTATCTTAAACTAACAACCAGTGTTCCAGATGAGGATCATCTCTTTACAAAAATATTCAAGTGCTAACTCATATTGTTACTTCTAAATGAATTTATTTCCAAACGCATTATAATGCAGTGTGATGTAAACAACAAAAAGTACCACAGAAGTATGCTTAATTTATATTTATTCATCAAACAACCACATCAATAACATTGTTTTTAAAACAATAAAATGGTCCTCTCTGGCAATGATTTACTTATGTGTTTCACCACAATACAAGTAAAAGGCCACCATAAGGGTGTATGTTGACTCTAGAGCGTTGGGGTTAGTCTAACATGAAAAGCATGGACAACAGAACATAAAATCAAGTTATGCAAAAGGTTATAACATACAGTATTAAGAAATCATACAACACAACCATTTTTTTAGGATTTAACTATGTATATTAAACATATACATTCTATGTGTAAATCAAATATAACAATTTATAACAATGTATTATTTGGTTTTGAGAACAACAATGAGGTGATTCACCAAATAAACTATTTGTTGTTTATCTCAATGTCCCTAATTATACATCCTAAAAGACTGTGCATTGTACATGTTGATTGAAGTACTTCAATCAATCAGGTTAATAGCTGGAGATCAAAAAGGAAATATAACTGACAAAGCAATAAAAGCAAGTAACGCAAAAGAAACAAAAATGAACAATTAGAGCAAAGCTGTTATTGGCCTGCAGTGTAACAGGTGCAGTCATATAAAGTTAATGACAGGTAAATCCTATAAGAGATCGAAAATAATAATGCATAGGCATCCCGTTCTGGGAAAAAAGGGAAAGACCTCCTGCTCTTGGACAATGATGTGCTCACTAAGTTGTTTGGTAACCAGCAAGATATACTTGGACATGTGTGTTTCAAAAAGGATCAAAAGTGAATGGTTCATTGCTCAGGATGCATTCCAGGGACGCTGAGCATTTTGTTCAATAACATTTAAGTTGTGTACAAGTGAAATGTTTGGCCTGATGCTGCGGCATAGGGAAAAGTCATATGGTCAACATATTCAAGGGTGATCTTCCATTGAGGAGTATGAATACAATCTCTAAATATAAAGTCAGTAAAGTATTTACATTTCTGATAGCACATCAAGTCTTGGCGGATATTCGTGCTTGAGAGCAGCAGCAATCTGGGGAAATACAGAGAAACAAAAAAGAGGGGCAGATCAGAACCCAAATTTGAGGTTTTTGAATACACAATGTATGTTTAGCATTAATGAATACAAAAGTAACAGCAACATGTCTAGGTTGAGGCTAAATCAACAAAGATACTGTACATTAATTCCTAAGTAAATTACCTAAATGATGTTTCCTTCTTCATCCTCACTGGTGTCTGGACTGCTTAGGCCACTTTGACTTTCCTCTTCATGTTGAAGGAAAGAAGCATCAGGACCTAAAGCAGTCTTGTACTGCTGCAGTACCACCTGCAACCTCTCCGACGCCTCAGCATGCTTCCTTCTTAGGGTGCACCCAAGTCCTACATTCCCCTTGTCTACATCTGAAAATACACAAAATATTGTTATATGGACATACTATAAAGTAAGATTGCTTCACGAGGCCAGAGCACTTCAATGGAGTATATTCTCTCCCATGTACATAAAGATGATTGTCACTGTCAAGGGACTTCATTATGTAAAATGGCCGGGTCAAATGGGCAAAGGCCATTATACTCCATCCAATTTCTGTGACCAAGAATGATTTGGGCTGACTTTTTTCCTTTAAAACTCATACTTTACAAGGTAGGTTAAGTTTTGCTTTCAACTTACCTTCCTCAGCCACCTTATTTTTTAGAGCAACTGCCATGTTCTGCAACCATGTGCAATGCTGCGCCATCTCCAACAATAGGATGCCTTTCTCCTCTTGCAGTCTCCGTGTAAGCATCACTTGATCCAGTATCTTTTTCTTGGCTGTAAAGTTAGCTAAAATCCAATCACAGTTATGTATACATGAGTCACATTTTCATTATAGCATAACAATATGTTTAAAACTCCAAACATGTAATTCAGTAGGTTGAATCTGCAACCTAAAACATTATATTGTTATACCATTCTGTCTGTAATGGGATTGCTTCCGCTGCCTCACACTTAGGTAAAGCCCCTCAATGCTTTGCTGCAGTGCTGTTTGAAGGATGTCTTCAGAAGTACCTGATGTTTCTGATGTTCCTGTAGAAATAATAGTGGCAGTAAAATGTACTGTTACACAACACGTAACGGTTTTGAGAAACAAAGTTGTGTAACACCTTTTAACACAAATTGATGGTACAACTATGGAAACTGGAACATATCAGAGATAAACATGGACACATAGTTGGCTTGCTATTGCTTGAAGATTATGTCCCCGTCTACTGAAATCCAGTGAGGGTCCCATTACGTGGCATGAAAAATCAGCCTTATATCATTGGCTGCTCTTTAGGATCAAATCTGTAAATTCAAACAGTCATGGACAATGATATGTAGCTGGTGTTTTCTCGTCGTGCTTACCAGATGCCCATTCCTTCACGTCGACACCATGTCATCTGAGACACAATGTAGCTCCGTCTTGAGTTCCTCAAGACTTGCAGTCTCTTCCAGGAGCCTCTTACTAGTCTGATAAACAGTAGACGATGGACATTTATCAAGATTAAAACTTGCTATGATTAACAACAAGCCATGTGCAAATGACAAAGGACACAACACCTTTAATAGGAGGCTCACCTTCACATATCTTGTGGAAAGTGCCTGATGAAGGGAGTCACCTTTTTTCCTGTTCCATCCCATAGCATGCACTGTGAGCATGTCCAGTCGTGCTTTTGAAAGCAATAATGAGGTTATGATGTGTCATCTAAAAAAGTATGCAATAATAGGGCAAAACCTTCCACTCACCTGCTTTGGACATGTATTTGGTTGTCAGGGCACAACGGGACAGGTAGCTGTTGACCTGCTCCACCTCTTCCCCGGCGGTCATCCCTGCTCCCTCCTGGTTCTTCCCACTCCATATAATCTGATGGTAAAAGGTTGCTGGAATTGTTGTGCAAAGAGGCTACATACTACTATACTAAACAGTATATCTTAGATATTTACTACTTCAGTATTATAAATATAAAAAATATAAATGTACGCGATACAAAAATATTTCACATACCTCGCATTTGGTAGCATGGGCTCGAGCATGCATTACACTGAGGAATGGCTTCATGGTGGTCAGCTCCTGGAGAGCAGGAAGGACACTTGCAGCTTTCTCCATGTACGGCCAGTACTTGCAAGCCACATCCATGGCGAAGAACTTGGCTTTGGCTGGCATGAGTTCCTTTTGAAGATACAGGGGGTAGGCGAATATCTCCCCCCTGTACATATTTAAGGCCTTCAAAAGAAACCCATGGCGACATACAGCCACCTCCATCCCTTCTTCATCCAGCTTAGAAGCCCTCCTTGACGTCTCCCTCGCTGCTGTCCACTGGGAGTCCCCACATGTGCCTCTTCCCTGGGTCTAAGACACACATTACATCATGACAAATCAGTTAAAAGCAATGGAATCACAATCTACACCATTTGTTCTAATTATCTGATTTTGGAGTAGATGGTAAGGAGAAGTAGCTGAATTTGAAGAAAGTCTAGGTCGGATATACATGGCTATTTTTGTGATATACCTATAAGGTAAAATGACGAATAAAAACTTGCATTTTTTAGTGATCTCTGTATTTTGTCGACAAATGCAGCCACCGCGCTGTCTTCTGCTACAAAGAGCCCATTAAAAAAGGCGCTGCCATCAGAACTAAGGAAAAAAAGATTAGCAAATATATCCATGAAATATAAACAGTAATCAAAAAAGTTAAATAACAACATTGTAAAAACAGCACCTTCCACTTCGCCGAAAGCGATAGAGCTTCCTGTTTCCATCGGCAGAAACAGCCAACATCTCCGGCGTGCAGGCAGGGCAGATGAAAGGAGCACCACAGCAGAGCTAGTCTTCCTCATACGAGGCATAGGAGAACTCCAGAAAGCTGCGCTGCAGTGCATCTCCGTTGACAGGTCCAGACTGGAAGATAATTACATAATTGCTGTGATTTTGTCTATTTACGGAAATGTTATAATGTATAATATGGTAACGAATATTTATACTTACTCTTCCTCCACACTTTGTGCGATGCTCCAGCAGCTTTGCAAAGGCCTGTCTGGAGAATCCCGGAGAGATGACCTTGAGCTCTTCAAAGGAGCTCATGAGGTCCAAGGTGTAAAGTGTGGAAATACTGACCGAAGCTGGCCAGTATCCACTCTTAAGGAGGACTTTCAAGTCGGGGGTCCACTGCTGCTGGCAAGTTTGACAGACATATAGTGGCAGATGCAAGTCATAACGCCCTTGGAACAAGTAAATAAACATAATTAAGACACATTTTACAACAGTTCCATCTACAAATAGTCAAAGATTAACAGATATTACATGAAGGTTTTACTCCAATTGGAAGCACAATGCCTCAGCCCACAACAGTAAAAATATAACAACAATTCAATAGAAATCCAAATATATATATATATTTGTTTACCATTGATGGTAATTAAAATCACTGGTTTGCCTGGTACCACAGTGAAGTTTTTGCCTTTACAGGAGCAGTTGGGTGCCTTCACAGTTGGCAATATGCAAGCTGTCAAAAAAAAAAAAAAAGCACTAATTACCATTATCTGCTGGCCGAAGAGACATGTGAACATCAAAATGCAAGTTTGAGAGAGCATACCTTGGTCATGGGTGTCATATCCACCTTCCACTCTAACAACACACGTTGTTGGACTAATTGGTTTAAAAAACCCATTAATTAAACTGTCCCTGTTGTGGAGTGGCTGTTTCTTGTGATGAAGTACATCACAGTCTCCACAGAACCACTCCTCGGGGAGACACTCTCTACACCTTGGGAGGAAATACAAAATGATTATAATATCCTAGAATTACTTTCATTTTCATGTGGGTTTTCTCTAGGTATCCAGTTTTCTAACATCCCAAAAGTCATGCATGCTAGCTGAAATAGCAGAGCACTGAGCATTAATACTGAAAAATTACAATTAGGTAAAGTAATTTAAATAAAGGTAAATGTTATCTCACCTAATAACAGCCGGCTCGTGGCAGAGGCCACACAGGGGATGACCAACAGCCTCTTTTTCTAGAAGGCATTGTAGGTGGTGTGGTCTCGCTTCTTTCCAGCGCTCTGAGGCTTTCTGCTGCCGAAAAGACCAGGATGAGGCAGAGCTTCTTTGAGGCTCAGGAGGAGGACATGAGGAAAGAATGTCAGAGAGTCTCTCCATATTCTTTTCTGTGAACAGAATGGGAAACTTTAACTGTAAATGACTATATTTAAGATGAACACTAAAAATCAAGGATCATTTCTTTGCTCAGTATGGAACTGGCCAATATCTTTACTGAATTATTCCTCGTTCGAGTCCTGAACTGTCAGTTGTGTATAAGGTTATTTTCTCTCACTAACACAATTTATTTAAAAATTGATTTTAGTTTTAAACTTAAAGCCATTTTTGTGATTTACCAAATTCATGTTGTGCTGAAGGTTCAGTACGCAGAACCTCCACACTGGATGACTGGAAGCCCTCAGTCAGGGGGGATGTGACTGTAAAACATCACACAGAGGGTTAACAACAGATAACTGATGATTTGTATTATCTACCTATTGTTTAAAAGCTTGTGAAATTAAATAAAGCATACTTCTTATGACACCACAGTGGGAATGTCTCCGACTGGAGTGTCACTATGCGTTTATATATTGGAATTATTGTAGACCCTCAACAAGCAATTACTGTGTTTTAATTAGATTTTCCAACCATTTACTTAGTAAATTCATAAAAATGTAAAATAATTGGGATTTCAACCTGTAGCTGAGCCTTGGCGTAGCCCTCCACGCCTCCCTCTTGGCTTGCCACGTCCTACACAGCCCCTTTTAGGGGACTGTAAAGTGTCTCCTACAGAGCGTGCCCGTTTCCTCTCCTCAGCTGCTTTCTGTGACCAAGTAACAACTCATGTAAGGTTGATGTTGCTGATAAACTGATACCATATGACAGTGGACAAATAAAAGGAAATTCATTCACTTGAAGAACATTTTTGCTTCAAGTTTTTCCTACCATATCCAACTAATGAAGTAAAACAAGTTGAACAAGCTTTATTTAGTAAGCCTCTGCCCCCCATGTTGTAATGATGAACTGTTTTGCAAAGGCCCTATACATTGATCCAAAATCCAGTTACTCTTGGCCTGTTCAGCATTTTTTGGATAAGAGATAGTGCCACATTCAAGTAGGAAATGAATGAGATCATATGGATTAAAACACCAACCTTAGCTTCAGCTAGCATGTGTTCATGCTTCAGCTCAAGAGCCATGCGTTTCCCTTCTTTGGATGTGGGATTATTGGGGTCTGGGTTGTGTTTTGTTGCCATTGCAACACAGCCAGCCAGCCAGCCAGCCAGCCAGCCAGACAGACAGACAGCCAGCACAGATATGCAAACAAACAGCTGCTGTATGAGACAGACAGAGATAGTGAGACAGATTGTAAGATTGAGATAGATAGATGAAGAAATAGATAATGAATGATAGAAAAAGATAGAGACAATAACTATAAGAAAGCTAGGTAGATAGACAGAGAGATAGGTTGAGTTTGGCTCTTAAAAGTGCCGTTGGTTTTATGATGGTGTAGATCAGTGTATGGGTTTGTGGTGTGGGTACAGGAGCTGCAGGAGAGAACAGAAAAAGTGAATTATGTAGTGAAACTAGCTTTTTTAAATGCACATTGTGACGGTTTAACTACTTTAGACAGACTGAGTGAGTTCATGTACGTGTTTCCTGTTTCAGACGCGGAACAAGCACATGGACTATGCCCCTCCCCCCAAACATACACTCAAAGAAATGATATGTTAGATTTACTTAATCTAGTTATGTCAACCGGCTGCACGTAACAAGGCTAAGTAAATAGGAAACAGACTAGTAAACTAATATTTACTTCTTGCATTTAAGTAAATCTTACCAAAGCATCTTAATTAAATGCTACATCATACAGTTATGTTGTATTTGCTTAACACAGTTATGTTGAATTTACTTAAATTGTTGTTTTTACTTAACACAATTATGTTGTATTTACTTAAAGTTTGCACTGATTTACCTAACACAGTTAGGTTGTAATTACTTAACACAAATTAGTTCCATTTATGTTGTAGGATTGTGTTATTTGCACTTAACATCATTTAATCCAAATTGCTCTATCAATATAAGTAATTAAAATGACTCCAACTCAGTAATTTGTATTCCGCTCACTTTATTTTAAATGTTCATTTTACACTTATAACATTGCATTTTGCAAACAACCATCTGAATTGCCACAACAATTCAACAACAAAAAAACACTTAACTCCAACAGTCCATTTGTGGTAGGTGCACATATTAGAATTTTAAAGCTCTTTGCGTAAAAAACCCACGACAGCTGCTGAACTTGACAGTGATGAGAAACACGAGTGACTCAAGAAGTTAACATGTGGGCTGAAAAGCTACAATAATGACTTATTATCTGAACATTTTATAAAATGCAACTTTACTATGAAGTATGGTGTTTTTATGTCTTTCCAAACACTTCACGCATCACATAATATTGCTCAAGCACATAATGTGTTACAGTAGATCTTTGCCTCTGTTATACACATGAACATATGTCTTGAACTTTCAAAAGCAGAAATACAATTGTGAGTGTCTGTGTGTGTGGTGTGTCTCTCTGTGTGTGGTGTGTGTCTGTGTGTGTCTCTGTGTCTCTCTGTGTGTGTGTGTGTGTGTGTGTGTGTGTGTGTGTGTGTGTGTGTGTGTGTGTGTGTGTGTGTGTGTGTGGTGTGTGTGTGTGAGAGAATGTACCGAGATGGAAATGAACTGGACGTTATCTCTGTCACAGTATTTTGTCCTTGGGATTACTCTTGTAATCTGTTTTTCAGAACCTGCACCTTGGTTGACAGTCTGTTGCCATCCAACCCCATCAATACTTTTTGAATGAATTCAAATGTATGTTTCAGGTCCTTGGGGTAGCTCAGATTGAGGCTGTAAATCAGTCCAAGCAATACTGCCCATCCATTTGCCAAGTATTTCAGCTCTCGCAGCACTCCAACACCCTCGATGATGACGCCCGGGTTCTGCTCCTTCGTGTTTCACGAGATAGAGTCCCAATACCATTGGCTCCATTTGGGTTGTTGCAAATTCAACATCCTAAAGTGGGATTAGAACATAGTATTCATGATTATCAGTATGAGAACCCTGACACACATCATTTTATAATATGAAACAAATGAGCAAATCCTTTTATTGGATCCATTGTAAATAAATACATGTAGTTGTAAATGTACATGAACAATATAACCAAAGTAGCAGCAAATACTTTGAATAAAAAACAAATTCAATTATTTTTATTTAAAGAGGACATATTATGCAAATGTTCAGGTTCAAATTAGTATGGAGTGTCTCTACTTTAAAGAGTCCTCTCCTGCTGATCTTCAGGTGTATATCAGTATGTAGTGTCTCTACTTTAAAGAGTCCTCTCCTGCTGATCTTCAGGTGTATATCAGTATGTAGTGTCTCTACTTTAAAGAGTCCTCTCCTGCTGATCTTCAGGTGTATATCAGTATGTAGTGTCTCTACTTTAAAGAGTCCTCTCCTGCTGATGTTCAGGAGTATATCAGTATGTAGTGTCTCTACTTTAAAGAGTCCTCTCCTGCTGATGTTCAGGTGTATATCAGTATGTAGTGTCTCTACTTTAAAGAGTCCTCTCCTGCTGATGTTCAGGTGTATATATATATATATATATATATATCTGTGTTTGGCTATGTTTCAACTTACCAAATATTCCTTTATGAAGCTCTCGGAACTTTCATTCAAGTAGACGCAGAGCGCTTTAAGGACACAGTCCCGTCGTGTTTCAACTGTGGGATCCTGAGGGACAAACACATTTTCAAAATCTTCACACAAGAATACTGATTATGCTTGTGTGCTGATTTTTGGCAAGTCAAAGAAAGGGGGTCAGAGAGGTTAAAATATATTTATATGAGAGGGACAACAAGAGAGAGAGATAAAGAGAATATGGTGTTGCACTGCCCAAACTACACAATTTATTACAACTACATACCTTGTCCATGGCTGCCATGATCAGGCCCAAATTGCGTCCTGCTGTTCCCCCCTTCTTTTTGAAAACCTTCATCAACTGAGACGAATGGCGATCCAGTTGAGACATGAAGGTAGGCAGCAGCGGAACGGTGGTGATGCGGGTGAATTCTGCGTTTACCTGCAACACATTGTGATACAGGTTCAAATGTTTTGTTTAAAGCTAATAATATCCATCAAGTGTCATAGCAGAAAGGACAGGACATCTACTGGTGTAAACCAAACAAAGAATTTCAGCTGAGGTTCTTTTCTTATACATGTGCATCTATTAAAATAGCTCTGCACTTAATACAGGTAAAGATTCAACATGACATCTACTTAAATGTGTTTTAAGAGCATTCCATGTTTTGAAAGAGCATGGGCATTCATAGTATGTGCATGGATATGGGTGTCTCTGACCAAAATGGCCGTGTTTTAATTTATAGTGCTTCAGTAATTGGTACCTTGTAGATTGAGTCTCAGTACACTGTTTGCATCTCCACATTCAAAACCTAGAGAAAAAGAGAAATGTGTTAATGATCCAAATGTATTGTAAATAACAACTATTATTGCAGCCATTAACATAATTCAGGGTGTGAGGTGCAGGATATAGCAACCCATTACTGGATCTTAAGCAGTGGTGGAAAAAGTACTCAGATCCTGTACTAAAGTAAAAGTATAAATACTCCATTACTTGCTATAGTCCCAAATTCAAAATAATACTTAAGGTAAAGTTCCAAAGTGTTATTAGCCAAATATAATAAAGTATCAAAAGAAAAAGTACTTTGTGCAGAAAGCCTTTTGTAAAAGGGTTGCATCATAGAATAAAAATGAATGTTCTTATAATAAAAAATCTACATATATACAAGATTTTTTAATGTTGTGATTTGTTAATATAGAGCATATTTTGGAAAGAACTGAGTAAATTAGTAGTACATGTATATGAATATAAACATTATCTAAAAAGGTAACTACAAGTGTCAAATAAATGTAGTGTTGTAAAAGTACAATATTTCCCACTGAAATGTAATTGAGTAGAATTACAGAGTAGCAGAACATGGAAATACTTTTCCACGATAAATAACTGTTTAAACACAAGCAGTTGCCACGGCAGGTAAGTGGCAACTGCCACACACATTCGCTTGGCTCGGCACCCAGAGTAACACCCCTTCAGCAGCCGCAGTTGTCTCAGCAAATAGTGGCATCTGCGGCTGAAGTACCTGCCACTATTTAATCTTGCTCTCTCTCTCTGATTATTATAAAGAAACACGTTTTCGGGTGAATTACGTGTCTATTTAAGAGCTGTCTTAATGGAAGATGTGCTTGTTGAGTGTGTTCCTGTACATGCTTTAAATAATTCACACTTTGATATTCCTGGCCGACATAATTAACGTAACGACCAGGCACGGCTCCGCCTGACGCAACAGTACAGTGCACAGATGGGATTTTTATTTCTTCCAAATAAGCTTTACAATTGAACAAAAAAACCTCCCTCAGGGGTTACACTTGATGAAGTTATTTTTAATAGACTTAGAAGACCTTAACCGACTATGACCTTTTTGGCACTGGAGATGTTTGCAACCAGGCTCTCAAATCTTTAAATCAAGCACATTTTTAAAAAAAAATTAAAAAAAAAGGAGGGAAAAAACGTGTCCACTTACTTTTGGTAAGAGCTAACATTACTATTATAACCACATCAAGCTAAAATCATTAAATACATAACGATTGACTTATACAGACAAAGCTTGAAATGTCACCTCTTTTGTGACATATTCTAACACTTTTAAGTGCAAGGGAACATAATTAAAAAGTGACCGTTAAGCTAGCTGTTAGCTAGCTGTTAGCTAGGCTGCACCGCTTTTCAAATCTATCAACGTATACAGTTGGTAGCAGGGAAATCAAAAATACACATCAACTTTTGTATTTCAGGGACCGTTTGTGTTTAATATATGTTAATATTTAAGAAACTTACCATAACATCGCAGGATGGCACAGGAAAGGGAAAAAATGCGGTTCTGTCATCTCACAGTCACAGGATTCAAATGACACATGTCCCCGGTCTTACAGCGCATGTGCTGAGAAAGTACGGCAAGCACTTTGGGACAATCAGTGCGTTTTAAATAACTTTACCATTTAAATACAACACAACATGGTAATGTAATCCCAAAACTTTGAACTTTTACATAAATGCAATTAAAATCTCTTGATTTAATTGTAAAAAGTGCATTTACTTAGTAGTTTCAATATAAAAAAAGCAATTAATGCAAACAACATCCATATTTCATTTCTAAGAGTGTATGTTAAATGTCCACTCGGCAGCGTTAGTACTGTCATGTGTAAAACAAAAGCGATTAAGATAACGTATAACTCACACTTTAACACCGAAGTATGTAGCCGTAATTAAGACAAATATTTTCCACACACCACTTATGAGCTGATATAAATGTAGCTAAACTAGATTAAGCTTATGTTGAACGTGAGCTAGCTAGCTAGGCGCCCGCAAGAATAATTTCACATTAATGTTGCTTTGCTGATAATGGCGAAAGCATTTCTCAGACTTAGAACAGTTCATTATGTATGATGAACTATGCGAGAAAAGGCTTAAAAAAAAGCCCCAATTATTAAATCATGCATCAGACTTTAGTGACACAACTTACTTTGTCAGAGGATGGATAGCAATAGAGTGGCGAAGTCCCTCCCCTTCCGGTGGACCTCCATGGGACCTTATTTCGGAAAAATTATGCATTGAAGTCAATGGAGAGAGAAAGATTATCTTTCGATCCCGTTTGAATTGTGCCATGAATTACACATATGTTGTTTGTCAATTTAAAAGATAATTTTGCAAGTCAAAAAAAAAAAAATGTGTCGTAAAACTGTGAAGTAACACATTTGTTTGTGTGAAACGCTCAAAGAACTACATCTGATCTCTGGTCAACAACACACGTCACCAAGATGGCCGTCACTACTGTCTTGTCAACACAAGAGACTACCCTCACTATCACTACAATGAAACACGTCCTGAAGAATGTCATGCAAAGCTGCCTGCCTTCCTTCCTTTGATTCTCTCTGAACTGCCTGGTCGTTTTAATGTTTAATGTCAACCATTTGTGCAGATAGCATGAAGTAGAGAAGATCGCTAGCGTTAGCGTTAGCATTTCTCCCCCGGGCTTAAATTGTGTATTATAGAATGATCACACCGGTGACAGTACTATTCAAAGGGTTCACGAAATATGACTACTACTCTTACTGTTTAACATTTTGGGTTACTTAATGTTACTTCATGTTAAGGCTAATAAAAATGACAAGGCTGTAATGCTAACTAACGTGCTAGCTACTAGCTAGGTAGCTAACTTGATCCACACACTCCTCTTTCATCAGACGGGAAGCGAAAGAACGAGCAAGACCCATTGCTGGTATAATAACAACCTGGTACTAAGCACACAGGCACAAAGTTATCTTATCTTAGCCAGCGCCATATAGATAGATTCTATCTATATGGCGCTGATCGTATATATACGGTATTATACGTGTATCGTAGTGTCTCAATTGTGACATCACTTACGCGACTCTGGGATTTGTAGTCTTTCTAGTTTCGTATTTTTCAAAGTCTTATATTTCAACAGTTTTAAGACAAACTGTGACTTTTTTGACATGGAAATGATTTTTTAAGATTGACAAACATCATATGTGTAATTCATGGCACAATTCAAACGGGATCGAAAGATAAGTTTTCTCTCCCCATTGACTTCAATGCATAATTTTTCCGAAATAAGGTCCCATACCCCGGAAGTAAGTGGGAGGGACTTCGCCACTCTATGCCGGACCGGTGGTGGTGCTCTGAATTATGTCATTTCCTGTACCGATTATACAATAAAATATTAATACATTTCCTATATTTTGACACAATAACTATTTAATAACCTAAGTAGCCTACAGACAAAAACAAAAAAGTATATATTGCCTTATAAAATGCAGAAAAGTGTAAACACCAAGCATGATAATAATAAAATAAAAGACTAATGATATCTTAAACCTTAATAAATAAAATGGAAAATTAACCGACAACAAGAATTTAACATAAATAAAACAAGGATTAAAACAAGGATAAGTTTGACTCAATGTTGTGTAAAGTACCCGTTATGGTTAAAAAAAATAAACATTAGAAAATAATACAGCTTCCGGCTTCCCGAGACACGAAGAGGAGACACGAACAATTCTTCCACTTAAAATGCATTACTTTGAAAATCGTGCTTTCTGACACGAAAGAAACGTGTGCATAAACACCATATCCCTACGTGCATTGCGGCTAAAACATCCAATCACCGCTGAGGATTATTGAAAAGTCCTAAATCTGTTTCTGGTATTGTTTCGGACTTTATTTTGAAATTCAGTTCCTGACAGACGTAAAAAAAGCCCGAGATTATCGAATTAAACCAATAAATAAAAACAAGGATAATTGTGTGTTATTGTTGAGTAAATAACAGTGTGTTATTTTAAAAAAAATAACAAATTAGAAGGAAAAAAAGATTTTAAAAATACAGATTTCAGTATCCTGAGGCTCTGAGCCCCATTTTATTTCCTCACAGACGGCAACAAAAGTCCGAAATGATACGATTTTAAATAAAAGCAATAATCGTGGCTTGATATTGAGTAAGAACATGTTTTTATGAACCACACAGCTTCCGGTCTTCCACGACCAGACCGAGAAAAAGACGTGTTGACTTTATTTTGAAATTCAGTTCCTGACAGACGTCAAAATAGCCCGAGATTATCGAATTAAACCAATAAATAAAAACAAGGATAATTGTGTGTTATTGTTGAGTAAATAACAGTGTGTTATTTTGAAAAGAATAACAAATTAGAAGGAAAAAAAGATTTAAAAAATACAGATTTCAGTATCCTGAGGCTCTGAGCCCCATTTCTTTTCCTCACAGACGGCAACAAAAGTCCGAAATGATACGATTTTAAATAAAAGCAATAATCGTGGCTTGATATTGAGTAAGAACATGTTTTTATGAACCACACAGCTTCCGGTCTTCCACGACCAGACCGAGAAAAAGACGTGTTGCAGGCACGAAACACATTACCAATAGAAATACATTGCTTTTAAAATCGTTCTGTGTGACACGAAAATAAGGGGATAATCGTGGTGGTGCACACGACATAGATTAAATAACGTGACTATAACACGAAATGCCGTGAGACTGGGTTGATATATCAGTGACGTGCGGTGAGGTTCATGGCTGGTGAGGCACTGACTCACTGAGTCAGATTTACAAATATTATATTTTGACCTTAATCGAAATATTCGGTTATTTTCAAAAGCTTTTTTAGTCTGATGCTTCGATTCATTTTAAACAGACCGTTGGATACCCAAAATCTAAATATTGGATTGTTCTTTCTTAGTAAGATCCCATTTTCATTACAAATGTGGTCTTACCTTGACTTGAAGATGAAGTCCATGCTATCCTTCTGGACAACAATCTCTATTACTTTTTTGTAAAAGTCCTCCTTATCTTCCTGTAGTTTCAAAAGTCTAGTTTGTTGTTATGTCTACCGTCTCTGCGTAGAATCACAGTAGCAACAAGAACCTGTGGGCTCACGTGCGCCCCCTTCAGTGCGGCAGAGGTTATGGCTGCCTCCCCTGGTGCATTTTCATTGCCGTTGAGACCAGGGTGCCTAAATATCATATATACGTGAAATAAGTTATTTAGAGACTATGGATGGCGAGGATAAATGTAATAAAGGGATCTACATACATTACATTGGTGACCTACAGTGAGATGGTAACAGGCATGCGCTTAGGGCCCGCTTTCCAGACAGTTTCTGTGGGGTGACGCATTCTGAGGTGAGGCAGATCTCATCTGTGCCTCACCTACCCCACAGTAACTGGCTTGAGCGCGCTCACAAAATAAGTGCCCGCGCTAAATTAGTGCCCGTGCTCCAGCAAGTTACTGTGGGCTTACGAGAGGCAGAGCACGTCCCTGCCTCACTTGTCATCGCTCCCGTAGCGGAGCTCGGCAAAATTGCTGATTTTGACTATAAAAAGCGATTAGAATCATACATAAATCACACTTACAACACAGATCATTGGAGACATTTATTATTATTACTATTTCGTTTTTCTTTAGTTGTTTTTCCGTTACATTGGAGTATGACAGGTGAGGCTCTGCCTCCCCTGCCTCCACTGACTGCACGTCGCTGATATATATATATATATCATTAAGGTGGGTTTGCTGCTGAGACTATCCCTACACCTGGGACAGTTTATTTTATATTGTTATTACCAGTGGCGGCTGGTGGAAAATATTTTAGGTGGGGCTGTGGAAATGGTGATTAAACAATACTAGGGGGCATTTTTTTGAGAAAAGACCCCCTAAATTATGACTTCTGGTGATGTTAGAGGGGGGGGGGGGGGGGGGGGGGGGGAAGGACAATTTGAGGCTTAAAAATATGAGAAGACTGATCAATACCTCCATAACTTCAGTGTGGTTAGCTATGAATCTTCCAAAACTTCCAAACACCTTGTCCTGGACATAGTTTCTACAGCATAAACTGTGCTAACAAGCTGAGATTCCACATATTCTAGAAATATAAGTATCATCACTGAGCGATCAGAACTCGAGACAGGGGAAGCAAATACAGACATCACACGACGTAGCTTTAGGTAGCAAAACACGGAGATATGCTCACCTTTTGCAGAATAACAATTCTGATCAAAAACGAGAAAAACGCAGCTGAAGGTTAATCCATAGGTTAATCCAATGTGTCTGTCACTTTGAAAAATGATTGATGATCCATAATTCAATTTTTATGTCAAAAACTGAGTTTTCATTAGCTGCTAATGGTAGCTTCCAGAGTGTATGACAGCTTCCTGTTTTGTCTCCTTGGATACGAGTCCAAACAACTCACAGACTGCACCGGGCGCTCACGTAGGAGCCCTGTGACCATCAGATTTGACGACGCTGATTGGCTGAAATTATGTTTCGGCGGCATAGTTTAAAGATAGCAACAGTTGGCTTCTGCTGCACTTGCTGCACTCTCGTCTGGGCGCTGTGCATAGCGCCCAGACGAGAGGGAGTAATGATACACGGGCAAGGCCAGACAGGAAACATGTGATTTATCAGTAATTTTAGACATCGTAACACAATTTTAAACGAGATTTTATTGTAGATTATACATTT